CTATATAGAACTGATTAGATGCTTAAAACCATTGTACTGTTAATACATTTCAATTATGTGAAATATAATTGAGGAATTGAGAAGTTATGTATCAAATATTCTCTGTAAAAAATCTAATTTCTGTTGGAAAAAAGTTAAAATTATAGGCTGCAACTTATTCTTTTTCGTGATCTCTTATGTTATATAACATTTCGTAGCAATTATATAGGATGTGTGGACAGTGTTTGTAATGGTACTGTTGGTGTTGCAGGCGTTGGTGTTAGGACAGGCATAGGTGTAGTTGGTATTTGCTGGTGAGATTGTCTAGGCGGTGATAAAAGTTCTTGTCTGTCTCGCTCTCTTTCCCTTCCTGGTCGCCATGCTTCTAGTAATGCTTCAACTCTTTCTTCTGTAGGTCCCCAACGACCAGTACCAGCTGCATTTTGTAGCCATACCACCAATGTTCCATGAGCTGCCCTAATATTAACTTCGCTTCTAGAATAAGCAATATTCATTATCAGTTACAATATCATTGTATTGCAGTAGAAAACAGTATTATAAAAGCAAACATTGTTTCTGTCAAGGAAACAATCATTTTTATTTTTGAACTAGTATTTATGTACTGTTTTCTACTATGATAATGTTCTTTTTCTACAAGTTTGATAACGTACTTTGATAATATATGCTGAAACCCATGTCTATATTCATGTTCCATAGCAGGTACTACTACTTGTTTTCGTTTGAAATGGCTGCCTTCTAATTTTATAAGAGCATTAGGCGCCGGATCTCTCCATTCCGGCAAGAATACGACAAAGGACAAAGGTTCTGCTGAATCGGCCAAAAGACGTTCAAAATGATTGACCATGGCTTCCATTAGTTCCTCACAGTATGGAGGATTTGCTTGGAACGAGCCACTGACAGGCCTGAAGTCTAAGAAAGGTCCTCTTGATCCAAAATAAGAATCTACATCAGCAAATGCTGAACAGTATTGTCTAAAGTAACAATTTAATGGAGATGCAAAGCACTCAAACGTTACACCAAAGTGTCTCTGAAGACATTCAAAGACCGTGACAGGGAGAGCCATTTGTGTTGCTTGACCTTCATTAATACCAAGATATGTCTGATAACGTTTTAACATACACCAAACACGCGGCAAAAACATTTCAAACTTTTTATCATCAAAGCAATTATATCTGTACAGATGTTCCAATTTGGCAAGATGCATGTTATTAATACACACAGCATCACCATGGAAACGCAATAAAGTTTGTTCACGTTCGGGAAGATAATCCAGTTGTGGAAGGCGAGGAGTTGGAAGTGAGAATTGCACTGGGTAACACCAAACTTTTCTTTGCGTACTGGCCGGTCCTCCTAACGGTATGACATTCCCTAAACCATTATCTTTCAATATCTGGTTATTCTTATCTTTGACTTTCTTCGCATATTCTGTCGACAAGTGATAAATTTTTAAACAAATACCCTCAACGCTAGCTTTCACAGTTTCTGTAAGATGTGGTTGACATTGTCGTTTCAAGTGTGCCAGACGATCTTGAAAATCATCAAATGTAGCACCAACAGTTCGTCTTAACCATTGAAAAGTGTCCTCGGCATTCCACTTTACAACCTTTCTACTCTCAGACGAAGCTGCTCTTGATTCTATCATCTTTTTTGCCGCTTCTGCGTATCGTGATAATTGTTTCCTTGCATCACCAGTAAACTTCGGCCGGACTAATTTAATTGGGATATCATTCATGATTTCGCGATACATCGACATAGAAATTTCAGGGAAACACTGACTTGGTAAAAGTGGGTCGGACCCACAGTCTATAACTTTCCTTTCCATTAACCATCTGTTGAATGAATCTTTAGGTGCATCAATTGATTCACGAGTATGACACAGTTCTTGATAGCATTGCCTTAATTTTGCAAGTAAACTACAACGTAGTGCTTCTGCTTCTGGATGAACATGGGGCAAATTTGATGGTGCTCTTTCATATATTATAACATTTGTTGGAATCTCCAGGTCCCATGGGCCTCTATTGTTATAAATTGATCATATTAAAACATTACTTTCAAAAACATCTTATACTCTTAAATAAATATTATGTAATTCAAATAATTTGAACATACGCTAAAACAAACTTCTTTGCAGGTGGAACAATACTATCCTCTGATGCTCTACGCTTGACTGTTGTTCCTCCAGTGGGTATGGCACCATTACCAGGAACAGGTTGCACACCACAGATACCAAGAGGATCCGTAATTGGATCAAACTAAAACATAAATGTAATTAAATGACATGAACTATTAACAATACATGAGTTGAGTTTATACCTTAGTACCTGAGGTTTCAAAGGTGGTATTACCCATAACGACTCTCCAGTTAATTTATTCCAAAAATATGGTCGATTTTCTCGCTTACTCCAAAACTTTTTCCATCCTTGTTGTTGAAGTTCAGGTGAAAGTTCAGAGTCTGGAAATGATCCTGGTGGTGTACCCTACAAATAAGAATATTAAATATTTTGTGGAAGAATATATAGCATTACTATTACGTCAACATTGTCTATATTAGTTTATATCTACACAACTTACAGAATATTCTAATCTAACAATTATCGTTGCATAATCATATCTTAAATATTTAAGTAATATAGTTATTTAAAACACTAAATTATTAAATAAACAGGAGCTATCCCAATTTCTCTCATTTCATGGTTTAAAATAAAAGAAGAGAGATCTGGTGCCCAAATAGTTAACATTTTGAAATTAAAACAATGAGGTATAAAATGTTAAATTAATGTATTATATTTTTCTAATATATATTATTACCTGTGTCATTAAGGCTGGTTGTTGAATATGACCAAGTTGTGAACAATGGTCTGGTATAGTTTGTGCCGAACTTAATATAGGTGCTTGAAGCTTTACAGGAGTAGGAACTATAACTTGTGCTACCGTTGGATTTGTATCTTGTTGTAACGTCTGATGGTGATGATGCATAGTGGAATAAGAAGATGCAGATTGTCCAGACAATGTTTCCCACGATGAAGTATTGGGTATATCTTGTTTTCCTCCACTTACTTCGTTCATTGTTTGATGTTTGTTTTGAAAAAGTGTTTACGCTATGTAGAACATTCAACACAATATACATCAATATTTTTTCACAATTTATGCATTTTAAACATAAAAAATCAAATTTTATTCTCATTCGTTTGAATTAACTTGATTAGTTGTGTATACTTTGAACAATTTGTCACAGAATATTGTAAAGATCATGTTTTTATTTGCTCTCACAGTAATTATTGATATTGGTGAAAAAATACATTAATTCTTCCGTAATTCCATTACATAGGGTAAAAATTGAATAAGTTTATAGCTTTTTGCACAGATTTTCATTAACTTCGTAAATATAAAAGTAGGAGAAATCCTGTGACAACATTTCGTAACTCGGTGTTTGTTTACATGCTACGAAAACACTCGATAAATTCACGTTTTTTCGCGAACCGAAGTTACGAAAACTTGCAAAAATTATTGTATCATCGTGGCAGAACTTACAAGGATCAACAATATCCCGATTTCGTATAAAATTCACAACAGAACTTAGAATTCATTCATGATTTGTGAAATTTGACGCAACGACCTCCACCCGTGAGATACCATTTGCTTGAACTGAAATTCTGACGACAGCGAAGTTAAAGCTTTTCTCACAACAACGGATGATAAATTCGTATGAAAGGCAATAGTAGATATGTACACATATTTGAGTACGTTGAACAAGGCATTAAATTAATATTCATTTCAATTCAATGTTTTCGTAATTTATTATTGTAATTTATACTTTTATTACTGAAATGCGTTGCAAACATATGTACATAACTGCGCAAATAAAATACTTAAGCCTTGATATGTACATACATATTCATAATTATGCTGTTGATAATTTATTTTCAGGCGATAATTTTTAACGATACGGCAGAATGTTACTAAAAGGGGAAGTTAAAAGTACAATATACTTAGTGCAAAGAGGAAAATAATTATAAAAATCATTTATGTCCACATATTTGATGAGGACAAGCTTTGTTATTTATGGCTATAAAATTCATAAGAACGCACAGGTTATACACTTTGTGTCATAAGAGTATCGATATTCATTTAGCGATTCCTTTCTACTACCTTTTTACCTAAGGATTGCGCGGCCAAATCAAAGCAATATGGCGGCTTGACATAATAATTTTTGATACGGAATATATTATTTTGATTGTAACGAAATAATCGTCCCGCGTTTCTATTAAATTATTCTTTGGTCGGAAGTTAACAGGAAAGTACGTTGGCTGGGGTAAATATAAGCGAAACGTGTTCACGAGCCGGCTGAAAACGAAGTTTCTTTCATTTAAAACTGAACAGTGCTTCCAAAATTTATTTTATTAATAGATGCAGAGATGTCCTTAATTTAACATCATTGTGCAGTGAAATTCAGTGTTGATCACCAGTTTTCTATGAAGAACTATGTCGTCAACACAAGGCAAAATTCGGGGTATAGAAATATTATACTTTAACATTTCTCTGTACTTTTTATATATTTCGTGTGGATTTTTCATTAATATTTATACCATACTTAAATTATATATGTTGTACTTGATCTGTAACATTAGTTTTTAAATATTTTAATTGTGAATACAGGTCCAGGAAGACCACCGAAATCAAAAAACTCTTGTACATGGTGTGGAGAAACTAAACAACCATTAAAATATGTTCTTCCTACGCAACATGGAAAAAAAGAATTTTGTTCTGAGACTTGTTTATCTGAATTTCGTAAAGCTTATGTACGAGGTGCATGCGTCCATTGTGACAATGTTATTAGAGGCACACCTGTGCGATTGGAACAAAAAGATGCACCTACGAAAGATTTTTGTTCTTCATTTTGTTTAAATAAGCATCAGAAGAAAGAAGGACAACCTGATGTAAAAAAGAGTTAGTAATTTGTAAACGTTTAAAATTATTTGCATCTGCTTTATATATTATACTAATATTCCATTTTAATTTATCAGATAATAGGGATCAATCATCGCCTGCGCCATCTATTTCACCAACAGGTTTATTAAGTGGAAATAATGTTCCATCTACAACCCAGTCTTTCACAAACTCTAATAATCACACAACTATGTCTCATCCTCCATCAACTTCTACAGGTCCATTTCAGTACGAAACATATCAAACTTTCGATTGGGATCTCTACTTAAAAGAAACAAACAGTCAAGCTGCTCCCATTGACTGCTTTAAACAGGTACAATAACATCGCATATATTAAATTTCAGGTAGAAAATATACATTATAACAATTTACTTTTCTATCAGCACGAAGTTCCACCAACCAATGACTTTAAGATGGGTATGAAGTTAGAAGCTCTTGATCCTCGCAATTTAACATCAACATGTATTGCAACAGTAGTTGGTGTACTTGGTCCCCGGCTGAGATTAAGACTAGATGGCTCGGATAATAAGAATGATTTCTGGCGCTTAGTTGACAGTAACGAAATCCATCCTATTGGTCATTGCGAAAAGTCTGGTGGCATGTTGCAACCTCCATTAGGCTTCCGAATGAATGCTTCCAGTTGGCCAATGTTTCTTTTAAAGACATTGAATGGGGCAGAAATGGCACCTGCAAAAGTATTCAAACGTGAACCAAAAACACCACGTTCTAACATGTTTGAAGTTGGACATAAGTTAGAAGCTATAGATAAAAAGAATCCACAACTTATATGTACAGCAACTGTTGGTGCTGTTAAAGATGATATGATTCACATTACGTTTGATGGCTGGAGAGGTGCTTTCGACTATTGGTGCCGCTTTGACTCTAGAGACATCTTTCCTGCTGGGTGGTGTTTTAAAAGTGGACATCCATTGCAACCACCAAGACAAAAATGTAACACATATTTTAATATTTTATTTTTGCATATAATGTGCATTTTATAATATATATGAATCATTGTAGCAACAGGGCCTAATAGATTTAAATCAAGGACCAGTAATGTTTTACCGGTAATGGCAATATCTGGTGGAGGTACTAACGGAGAACCAGCTGTTGCTTTAGTGAGTCCTGCAGGTTCCAGTGCTCCTCCGCAACCAGCTACAGAACCTGATACTAGTACAGCTAATACCAAACCACATTCTTTGGAGAATGGTATGCTTCACTATATCTGCACATTTTTTTTTCTTGTTGCTTACTTATTGTTTTTTGACTCATTACTTCTGTTATATTACAGTTACAATTTATGTAAACCACAATTGTACCTGTGGTCCTTACTTTGATCCTCGTAAAGTAAAAGCTATGCCAGCACAATTTGGCACTGGTCCCATTTTGAATGTAACAAGAGATATATTTCAAGCTTTCCTGATGGCAGCAATGAGTCCAAGACAAATGTTAAGCTTATTAAAACGTGGTGAAGGAGAAACCATAAGCTTAATCTTAGAGAGTAAACCTACTTCTGTCAGGTTACCAATATTTATGGAAGAAGAGGATTTTTATATATACATAAGGCGACAACTTGAAGATCTTTGTGCATGCGAACACATGTTGTTCAGAAGAAAGGAATCTTGTAATAAATGTCCAAATACTCAGCAACCACAATCTACAAATAGTGAAGAAACAGTTGCTACTGCTACAACTAACAGTACTGCTACTGGAGAGAAAAGGAGATGGCAATCTCAAAGCCAACAAAATTTATCATCTAGTATTCAGCAACAGCAAATACAACAGAATTCCGTGCCAAGTATAAATAATTCGACATTATCATCTCCAACAGCTGCAAAACAATCTAGGAAATCCGTTCCTGGTAAATTAATAATTGATACTAGTTATAACGAACTAAATATTTTATTTCTACGAATTTTTATAAATCGATGTAATCGAGTTAACATCAGTATAGGAAATGGTGCTATAATCTAATTATTTGTTCGCTAAAGTTTAAAAGAATATTATTTGTTAATTAGAACTTGAAGCTGCAACGTCAACTACCCAGTCTGAAAGTTCTACAAATCGTACAGCTTCTACTGAACCGGCAGAATGGACTATTGAAGATGTAATACATTACATTGGTGTCACTGATCCTCAATTGGGCCAACATGCAGATTTATTCCGGAAACATGTAAGCTATTAAACATTTTACTATTTTATATATTTAAATATAATTTCTACATTTGAGAATATCGAGGCAAATAAATAATACATTCGTCCATTTTTTAATAAACAAATGTTATTATGCGAGTCATAATTCTAGTAATAACAACAGCTATCTGTTTTCAGGAAATTGATGGTAAAGCTTTATTACTTTTAAATTCCGATATGATGATGAAATATATGGGATTGAAACTTGGGCCAGCGCTAAAAATATGCAATATGGTAAATCGTATTAAGGGTAGAAGACATATTCTTCTATGACTTTGTTGAACATCAGATTATGTATAGTGAGTTGGATCAACCCATTACTTAACTGGCTGGTCAGATTTGTTTTCATTATTGAAAACAAATTAATATATAAGTTGTTAAAACAATGTGAATATATTGATTATGTTCTTTTCAAACTTATTCATTTATCACTTATCGTAGATTTTACGTGAAACAAATCAAAGTTTAATTTTATTTTAGTGTTTAAATGGCTTTATTCTCAAAGAAATAAAAAATTATATTAGTTACGTGAATGTAAACCTTATCTTTTTCTGAATATGATTATAAGCAACATTGTTCTGCTAATTAGACTAGTTTATCCAACTCTACATACTTTTATTAAATGCGAGACTAAGGTAGCACTTCTGCAGTGCGCCTGCCACTATGGAACATTATATTGTTGCGCTAGGGGTGCCGCCGTAACAAGAAAATTTATTTTACACAGACTTATGTAGTAACCTGACACCATTTTATCTTAATCAGCGTATTTTCTTCCTCTGATTCAGTGAAAGTCTTTTATTTTATCTATTCTCCCAGAGTTAACTTGGACGAATCTGGGTGCCAGTCTTTCTTCTTAATTATGTATAACTCCAGTAATATAAGTTCATCCATGACTTATATACTGTGCTGTAATTGTTCTTTGTGTATGTACGAATCGACTATTGAACTCACAAAATTTAATTCAAATCAATTCAAACTTTGTGTTCTTATCTTATTTTTTGATTAAACATGTTTAGTTCGACCTTGGTAGCGGCTCCCCAAGACATCGTAACAATATATTTTCTTGATAAGAATGATTATTGCCTAAGTTTATGTCATAAGTAGATTGCGAATCTTTATGTATTTATGGCACATAAAGATTTTCAAAATGCAATTTGATAGCATTTATATTTTCTTTTAACAATAGATAATCTTTTAATTTGACAAAGGAAACTTCCCTTTAATTTTAATTTTTGTAAAATGAGTTGTAAAATGAGAATTTGCATGAAGATCCGCAGTCTAATCATAAGAATGAAAGAAAAATATATACTTTCAAGTTCATTTTATTATTTTTCAAATAACAGTATCATTTCACGTAACTATTTTCCGAATGTAGGAAGTATCAACGTAATCATGTTAAAGCAAAGTTCGATATTTTGCGCATTTCTATTTAAAAGAATAATTCTTAAAATCATATGTATGTACAAAGTGTAATTACTGATGTTTTGTTTGATA